CCCCCTTCTCACCATGTCACTCGCTGTAACCTCCCCTTGCCCCCCATCATCTACATCAGCCCCCCCATTGCCCCATCAACCCCCTTTTCACCCCGTCATTCCCTCTTGCCTCCCATCATCCACATCACCCCCAAGACTCCCCATCGCCCCGTCACCCCCTTCACCCCAAATCAGCCCCCTTCATCCCTCCTCACCCACACCACTCCCTTACCCCCGTAACTCACCGCTACCCCCATCCCCCCCTCATCCCGCTTCACCCCATCACCGCCATCATCACCCCGTCACCCCCTCATCGACCCCCCCATCCTTTTACCCCCCCTCCACCCTGGCCCCAGCCCCTCCTAAGGTCCCCCCCAGCCAACACTGCCAGCCTCAGCCCCCGCAGCAAGGGGAGCCACCTCCATTACCCTGGCAATCCTAATTAATGAGCAGGCAGATAATTAGGAATTTAATCAGAGCGCTGAGCTCTCCGGGAGGAGCAGGCGCCGCAGTGAGCCTTGGAGCTGGGCGCGGACAGGCGGCACCGGCGGCTGCTCGGCCCGCGGGGACACGGGCACTTTGGGAGCCCCCGCGGTCACTGCCGCGGGCGGCACCGGGCTGGACGTGCCCTGCGGACCCGCGAGTGCAGCCTGAACCTGCTTCTCCCCGSCGCAGCACAGCGGCCGGGCCCCTGCTGCCCTCAGTAGGTTCCAGAGTGAACACTCCTCCCTATCTCAGCACAGCAGCAAGGCTGGGGGAATTGCAGCACAGGTACTAAAAGCAAAACGCAGCCCACAGGGGAAAAACCCCAGCCTATGGGGTGGGCATGGTCCTGGCCATCTTCTTCATTCCCACTTCCTATTTTTAACCCGCCGGCCCCAGTGGGAGCTGCCTCCGTTTCCTGGCTGCAGGCGAAGCTGCGACSGCTGCAGCTCAGCACACAGCTCCCGGTCCCCAAGCGGTGTCCGGAGCACGAGGAGACCCGCGGGAGGCACGGGGTGCTCTGCCGTGGCCCCAGCGTTTATTTTTAAAGCCGTTGGCCCCGCRTGATTCACGCGCTGCGTGTTCCCGTATCATCCCCGGCGAGTTTTACATGACAAACACTGGTTAAAAATAGATGTTCTTGAAAGAAGCAAMCATGTCGCGAGGAGGGGAGCCGCCGGCGCTGCGTGCGCTCCCGCGCCCGGCTCCGCGGGATCCACRGAAACGGGTGCTCCGGGCCCACGGGAACGCAGCRGCGGGGAGGAAACCTGGCCCAAGCGGCTCCGTGCGAGACCACCGCGCTCGGGACACGCTCAGGAGCGGGAGGCAGCCAGCTCAGTGCAGGCAGGGCCGAGCGAGGCGCTTTTTACACCTGATCATAAATATCACCTGGTAATTGCCTCCCCACGGCTTTCGGGAAACAGGCCGGGTTAGTAATTAAATCCCCAGCAGGGACCTGGTGTCGCTGTGGGTAAACACACAATAAATTAGCCCCACTTAAAGGTCAACTGGAAGGAAATTCACTTTGGTCAGCGCCGCGTCAAGTTCCCGGGGGCCGAAACCCCATTCGAACCCCAAGCTCCTGCAGAGCTTCCCCTGCAAAGTCCTGCCCTGTTGGAGCATCCTGTTGCAAGCTGGTAAAGAAACCCATGATTCGCCATTTTAATAATATTTTTAATTCAAAATCAACATTAGTAAACCATTTCCTGCCCTAACCAGGGTCAGCGGCCCCTCTCACTTAACACACGGCCACACACACAACTACCAGTGTCTCTTYCTGAGGAATCCCCACACCGGAGTCACCACGACCGTCGGACAGCAGGAATCCCCTGGGCACAGCACGAGGACGGTGATCGGAAAGTGACCAACTGCCGCAAGTGCTAGGTGGTGACTCTGTAACAGCCCCGGGTGCCGCTTCCCTGCTTCCCTGCAGCCAGCTGCTCCTCCATGGCATCAGGAGTGAGGGTGATCCAAGAGCAAAAAAAATCCTTGCAGAGCCTGGCGAGCCCCAAAAGGGCATGAAAAGGCACCATTTCTCTTTGGGGTCATTTCTTTAGATTAAAAATAATAATCAAAGAGAGGCAAAGAAGGCTTGATCACATAAAAAATTGCTCACTGAGACGGGGCGAGAGCAAATGTGTGGAAGTGCCTTTAGAGTGACAGTCGCTCTGAGGGAGGGGGAGAGAGAGGTGGCTCCTCCTGCGTGACAGAGGGCGAGGGCAGCAGGCGCCTCCACTCAAACCCCGTTGAATTCATGCTCACAGTAGCCCACGAAGAGCGGCTCAGCCTGGACACCCCGCCTGGAACACAGCACAGAGGGAGACGCTGCAGCGCAGACGCACGCGCTGCGGCCTGAGCAGCGCGAGGAGCACGAGCCGCCACGAGCACCCATGTCAGACACAGCGAGCTCACGAAGGCTCCGTCCTGCACCCTCGGCCCGCATCTTTTGCTCACGTGGGCACGCAAGGCAAAAGGGCAGCTTGCAAGCAGCCAGTCGCTGGGTGCAGGAGCGGTGGGTCCCGCTGGCCGCCGTGCCCGGGCCGTCCCCTGGGCGCTGCCAGGCCTTACCTGAGCAGCTCGCAGCGGAAGGCGGCCAGCCGCACGTAGGCGTCCTGCAGGTTCCTCACCGTCACGTTGCTCCAAAGGCGCTCGGCAACAGCCCCGGCTCTCGGCCTTGAGAAGGGAGGGAAAGAGATGTCCCATTCAAATAGGGGAGTTGGGAAGCTTCTCACAGAGACCCCTGAGCTCCCTGCGTGCTGCGAGCTGCTTCTGCAGGGGTTGGTAGAAATTCGGGGCAGACGGACTCCGTTATCCACATGGATATAGTAACGGCACCACTGCACCCTGACAGTGGCACTTGCTGCGAGCAGGACCACRAACCTGGCCAGCCTGAGCACAGACCCGGCTCTGAGAACAACTGGCTCAAAATCCACAGGGCCAGAGAGCGCAGTTCACATTTAGAGGATAGTTCAACCTTAAACAGAAGCGGGAGCGAAAGGAGACCTCCCACTTCCAGTTAAAAGGCAGTGAAAAGGCCTGGAGAAATGCAGGTGCCCAGTTCCTGACCCAAGGCCTCCACATGGCTGCTTTGTATGGAAAGATTCAGTCACAGATCCATGTGAACGAGAATGTGACCCCCTGATAGGACAGAGACCAGGTTTAAACAGCAACCGGCTGCAGCAGCAGGTTCTACAGGGGCCTGTTTCAGTTTTACAGCCACAAGCCCTAGTTTAAGCCTCAGTGAAGCGCCTACCACCACAGGTGCAAGGGACTAGAGTCAAGGCCCATTATCCGACCAAACCACCTCCATTTGGTGCACGTAGCTTGGTGGTGAAGGCAACAGGTCTGGGCCCTGCCCACAGGACTCGAGTCGACCTCCTCAAGACCCCTCTTACCAGAGCCTGGGGGTCAGGTTAGTGACATCCACGTATTCACCCCACATGCAGGCCTCTCCGCCGATCACCCGCTCCTTCTGCTCAGGGCTGCCTGCCAAGGAAGACACCATTCAGAGGACAAGGTATTGCAAGAGACATGTGATTTACTGCCCCGAGTTTCCAAAAGCAGCAAGCTAGCGCAGCTGTAGAGACCATAGCAGCGACAGAATCACCCTCAGCACCTTCACATCAGCAGTGGAAACAGACTAGCRAGAGCACCAGCCCCAACACCACTTCTGGGAAATAAGCCGCGTGTCGTGAGGGAAGCTGGCGCAGGGAACGCACCCTCAAACTGCAGGGGCTCCACCTGGTAGGCGTTGATCCAGTCCTGCCCGTAGGAGATGCGGTTGAGGTACCAGGGGGCTGAGAGCAGCGCCCGGTATCCCGCCTTGGTGACTTGTGCCATCTCCTGCACGTACGGTGGGGACTTCTCCTTCCACACGTGGACGATCGTGTCGGGTCTCAGCTGGCCGYGCAGCACAAAGACGCAGAATGAGTGAGTGCAGCCACCAGGAGCAGCATCTTCCACCAGCACCATCCCAACACCCCCAGAGCGCACCAGGGTCTGGCCGGGCGCTGGCACCGCTCGCCCAAGCCCCAGGAGCCCTGCTGGCAGCTCTCACCTTCGCCGCGTTGTCAAACACCTCCTGCCACACCACGTAGCCCTTGCCATAGGAAGAGACGATGTCCAAAAGCCTGCAGTGGAAACAGCGCCGCGGTTGGGGCAGTCCCAACTGCAGTTTGGTTGCAAACAGCCAAAACAGAAGCACCCGTTTTTATCCAGCACCCACGGCAAGACATAGAAATATTTCTGAAAAAGGGTAAGGGAGAAAGCCTGGCCCCTCACAGAGCTCCCTTGAGGCCCCRATCTCCCCTGTGGAGGAGGCCAGGCCCTTTGGGGTGAGGGAGCCGTGCCCCAAGGTGCGCGTTCTTGCGAGCAGACGGCAGCAGGAGACATTTGTGCTGGTCACACACTGCAGCGACAGGCCCCTGGCACAGCCGTCCTTACCGCTGGATGTAGAACGACTCCAGTTTTGTGAAGTCCTCACCAAATCCCATCTCCTGCATGAAGGCACGGATTTTTGGATTCGACTTCCTGTGTACGAGAGAGAAAGGCATAAAAGCTCTGCGTCCCAGAGCTCTGCAGCAAGGACAGCCACGGCTTTCCCTGCCCTCTCTGCCAAGCAAAGCAGGAGACCGAAGGTGTGGAGAGACGCAGGGCCAGGGATTGACGGGGCGCTTGCAGTGAGGTCCCATGCTAAATTGCTAGCCCTCTGGCTCCCTCCTAACATAACGAAACCTCCTGATCTTTCTGGGTGGCTGTTCTTGCCGGYGCTCATCATCCATCCCTAAGCACGTGCCTAGAAACCAAGGCAACAGAAATCCTGTTGCAGACCTTAGTTCCAGGCGCTCCCCAGGCAATCTGGATCCTCACACCTGCGCTTTTCCCAGKCTCTGTCCTCTCCGACCCGGGACTGGCCCCACTCACCAGCAGGTGAAATCCACCTCGTCACCGCCGAGGTGAAGAAAGGAGTCCGGGAACACGGCGCTGACCTCCCGGAACAAGCGGCTCACAAACTCATAGGTGCTGTTCAGGATGGGGTTGATGGGCCCATAGGTCCCAGAAAGATTCTTGCCCGAATAGCAGGGAGTCAGGAGGCCCGGAGCACCTGGGCCAGAACAAAYGCAGTGCAGCGAGGGAAGGGCTCAACACTCCCCACAGAGCCATCCAGACCCTACGGAGCAAGGCCCCGAGCCACCCGCAGGATGTGGCTGTGCACGGCTTTGGGGATGCAGGCGCCGGGACCCGTCCTGCCCCGGGACCTCCCAGTGCCCCGCGGCTCACCTGGCCCCCACGAGAGGGTGTGCCCGGGGGTGTCAAACTCGGCGACGACCCTGATGCCCCGCAGCCGGGCGTACTCGATCACRGTGCGCACGTCGTCGGCTGTGTACACGTGCGTCACGGCACTGAAGGCTCCCTGGGGAAAGGGAGACGTCCTGGGGCTTCACTCCTCGGCACAGTGGCAACGGGAGCCGCGCCAGCCAGCAGGATGCCTTACCTTCCTGCTGAGCTCCGGGAACGCCRCGCTCTCGTATGGGAAAGACGGGTCATCCACAATGTGCCAGTGAAACACGTTGAACTTGTTGTAAGCCATGACGTCCTAGGGAGCAAGGGGAGCCCAGGTGAACGYGCCCTGGCCTGTCTCAAAGGGCAGCCGGCCTGTGGCAGAAAGCGACGGAGGGAGCCCAGGTCCTTGCACTCCAAGGGACTGGCCTAATGTGCAGAGTGTCCTCAGGTGCTCCCRGAGTCATTCAGACACCTCTGTCAAGCACACGAGCACTGCAGAGCTGCAGAAGGCCAGCTGTGCTCCTGCCAGCAGTAAAACCCATTTCTCCACACATGTAAGGCAGTGCTGGAGGCCTGGATGTTCAATTCTGCTTGAGATGAGGGCACTGCCACCACCCACTTCGGTCTAACGTGACTGTGAAGCAGCCTCCTTTGTCTTCTTCGCCTCGGAAGCAATCTGGTTTCAGAAAGCAAGCCGAGGAGCAGGGATTTAAGGCACCTCATGATTTTCTTCCTTTCTCCCACATAGGGAGGGAAGTGAAAAAAAAATCACCCATGTGAGGCAGCAGCAAGTTACACAGGGCGAAATAGAGCCACAGGCCCAGAACACTGCACTGGGAAGAGCCTACGGCACAGGATCACTTTTCCGTGACACGGATCAATGAACAAGAGCTGAGGTCCTGCTGCCATCCCGCCTGGGACAGCTGCTTCCCCCAGCAGCACGGAGGCTGGTTTTCCTGAAACCCCTCGTTCTGAGGAGCCCTTCCTTGCAGGGCCGTGGGCAGCTGCCCTGTGCCCAGCTCCATGGCAGGGCTCTCACTAGATGGCTCCTGTGATCTTTGGAAAGCACCAACCACGACAGGAAAGACCTGCCAGCYGCCCGGGGAGCTCCTGCCTGCTTCAGGAAGGGGCACCTGGCTTTGTCCCCTAGGCAGGCGGGACAGGCCACACGTCATGCAGCACAGGCCCTACCAGCGTCTGCAGGATGGCTTTCAGGGGCAGGTAGTGACGAGAGGTGTCCAGCAAGAGGCCCCGGTGCGGGAAGCGTGGGAAGTCCACGATCTCCGTGGCGTTGACGTAGTACTGCACACAGAGCGAGGAGGAAGTGAGTGGGGCTCCGAGGACACGGCCACTAGCGGGAGAGCTGCCATCGCCTCCAACCCCAGAGSCAGCAGCACCTGGAGGGGTATCTGCACGGCCCGGCGCTCAACCCCACTGCGGAGGCAGCCAGAAAGAGCCGCTGCACTTGACACGAGAGCCGCCGTCCGGCAGGACTCGTGTCACAAGACACTATGTGGCCYTCCCTGGGACAGGCTGCGCCACCCCCCGGCCCCAGGTGCCCTCGGGAAAGGTGGCTCTCTGTCCCCAAGCGCCAGCTCCCGCTCACCGTGCCGGCCTCGTCCCGCCCCACGAGCTGGCTGAATGTTTCCAGGCCTGCAGGAAAAGCACTCGGTTATTTCTCAGCAGGATTCCCGAAGGAGCGGAGCACAATTAAAGTCAGTCTGCGGGAGAGGGCACGGAGAGCCGTCCCTAGAGGTTTTGGGGCAGGGTATTGGGAATGCCCGTGGACACCTCACCTCTRAGCGCTCCCCAGACGGCATCTGCCGAGAGCAGCAGGGAGTCCTTGGAGATGGAGAGCTTGTCTGAAACACAGCACGACACGGGTTGTGTCCCCACAGCATCGYGCCCCGGGACACAGCTGCTGACAGACCACACAGCATCCATGGGGAGAACTGCTCCCTGGCATCCCGGAGCTCTGTCATTTACTTAAGGCTTTGCCCCCCCACTGCCTTCTTGGTATCCTCAGCTAAGCCACTGCTCCCTGGCCCCAGCTTCCCACCCACACAGTGAGGATACCCAAGATTTGAGTGTCGGAGGATACCCAAGACTCAGAGCTCATCCACGCTCCCATCCCAAGCCCTGGTACTCACAGCTCTCCTTGGAGTCCAGACTGGGAAACCCATCGCAGCCTGGGGTGGCCACAGAGACCAGGAGCTGGGCACAGGGCTGCTCCCGGGCTTGCTCATTCCCTGCAACACAGAGCGCAGCCGTTAGCCCAGCACACAGAGGCTGGCTGACCACAGACCCTGCCAGTGCCGCCGTGGCCCACACCAGACCCCCAAAGACCCAGCGCTCCCAGGAACAGCTCGATACAGTCACCAAGGCCCACAAAGCCAGGCTTTGAGCGAGGCCGGTCCTAAGTCAGACACCCAGGGGCCTTTTAAGGGATCCTGGCACAGGYAGCACTGGGGTGAGCCGCAGTGAACACGTGCTCTGGGGCTCACCGGAGCCAGGAAGCCAGAGGGAATGGCAAAAGCTCTGTGGGAGGAAGGTGGAAAGGGAAAATACCACCAGGTGTTGAGTTCTCTGTTCCCTTACAGCCACGTTGCTCCCTGCCAGTTCCCTGTGCCTGCGAGGGACAGCACACCGGGGACAGCCACTCTCAGGGAAATCCAGGTTTTTCTTTTACTTAAAGGGATCCCCTGAGACAAACACTTCCCAAAGCCCCATCCTTGGAGATATTGCAAACTCAGCTGGGCACAACTGGGAAAAAGCTGAGCAAGGTTCAAAGTCAGCTCTAAGGAGGGTGGCCCTGCTCTGAGCAGGGGTTTAACCACACACGTCTCTACATCAGTTAGTCTTTGGTTTCATTCCAAAAGTCCCAAGCTCAAGGGCTGGCTCCAGTCTACAAATCCCTGGACCCTGGGACCCTGGCCATACACAAGCATCCCTCACAAAGCCAAGGACAAATCGCAGCCGCCACCAGGCAGAGCCAAGAGCCACGAGAGGAGGCTGCTTCCCAGAAAACAAGGAGCCACACGGTAACAGTGGGGAGTTCTAGGGGAGCCTTGATGGGAACATGAGGCTCTCATGCCACCGAGGGGGCTTGAACACACGGGAGGTGCTGAAGCCCCCTTAAGTCTCAGTGTCGCTCTGTTGTATTCACATACCAGCTTTCCAAACCAGCAAGAAAACTACTGCTTTATCTTCTCCCTTAATAAAAACTGTTTCTTTCCATGCAGGATTTCCACTGCCTGTTACTATTAGTCAGTAGTGTCCTACTCACAGAGATGGAAAAGGAAGGCAAGGAGGAAAAAAACCCTCACGTTAACCACGTGCAGCCTGGAAAGCGCTGTGTGAACATGGACCGTGACCTGCTGATCACAAGAAATCGCCCCGAGCGGCTCGAGGGCCACATCTGCCTCTGACAGAAGCAGGAAAACATGAATAACTTTAAGTGCTGTTGCAAGCTGAGTTCCTAGGAGCAAGAGGAACCAGCGGGCCCCTGGCAGCTTCCAAACCAGGACGCCATTTGAACTGCCGTCCGCAAGAAAGGAACGGAGCCCCGCGGCTCTTGTTTGTGACAACCGGCGCACTTCCCGCTCCTTATGCAASGCGCAGCCCCAAAGCAAGCCAGGACTTTCCCTTCCTGGCGCTATCCAGCAGCAGGGAGAGCCGAAACGGCTAAGGGAATGTGTGGGGAAAAGCAGCCAGGTAGCCAATAACCCCCCGGAGGAGCCCGCGGCTTCGCGTCCCGAGCGGCGGCTGCGCGGCCGGGGACCCWCACAAGGCGCTCGGGAGGCTGTAACCGGCCGGGGCCGCCCGCGCGCCCCGCGCCGCCTCACCGCGCGCCGCGCCGCCGAAGAGCAGCTCCCAGTAGCGGCGGAAGGCCTGGTCGAGCACGGCGCAGCCCGGCCCCACGGCCGAGGCGGCGGCGTAGGCGAAGCCGAAGCGGCCGGGGCGCAGGAGGCAGCGGGCGCCGCCGGGAGCGGCGCGCTCG